TTTTTCCTATACCTGGGAAGTTTTCTGCCACTATTTTGTTGAATATGTTTTCAATGCAATCTCCTTTTTCCTCCCCTTCTGGAATACCCATGACTCGGATATTTGAGCGCTTAAGGTTGTCTCATATCTCTCTCAGATTTTCTTTAATGCCTTTGATTCTTTTTTCTTTTTTTTGGTCTGCTTGTGTTATTTCAAACAGCCCATCTTCAAGTTCAGAGGTTCTCTCTTCAACTTCCTTTAGCCTGCTGTTTAAACTCTCCATTATGTTTTTTATTTCACTGAATAACTTCTTCAGTTTGGCAAGTTCTGCTACATTTTTTTTTCAGGGCATTGATTTCCTTGTACGTTTCTTCTTTCAAGTCCTGTATACTTTTCCTCATTTCATCATGATGTCTAGCTGAGTTTTCTTGTATCTCATTCAGTTTCCTTAGAATTATCACTTGAAATTCCTTGTCAGTCATTTCAAGGGCTTCTTATTCTATAGGATCTAGAGCATGAGAGTTATTATCCTTTGGTGGTGTACTTTCTTGATTTTTTGTATTTCTGGTATCTTTTCTTTGATGTTTATTCATTGTGGCAGGGGGTTTCACAGGCCACAGGTTTGACACTATTGACTGACTAAGATGTTGCTGTGGTTGCCAATTTGGTATGGCTACCTCAGTGACTGCTCAGTTGGCTACTAGTGCCTTGCATGTGTGGTTGCCTCAGGTCTTGGGCCTCTCCAGGGAGCCACCTCTCTGGTCTGCTTGGACTCTTCTGGGCTACTGGATCATGGGCCGGTACCACAGGGTGTGTGGTCTCTGCTGAGCTTCCACCTCCCATGCTGGACTTCTCCCTGTTCCGTGTGCTCTGGCCCAGGCTGCTGGGATGCACAGAGGCACCGCAGAGCGTGTGGTCTCTGCAGAGCTTCCCCTTCCCCTGCAGGATGTCTCCCTGCTCTGTGCATGCTAGGCCGGGCTTGGGATGGAGCCAGGTGCCTGCAGTGAAGCCTACCTGCTGGATCATGCAGTGGTGGCCCCACAGGGGGTGTGGTTTTAGTGGAGCCTCTGCCTCCCTTGCTGGACGTCTCCCCACTCTGTGCACACTGGGCTGGGCTGGGAATCGAGCTGGGTGGCAGCAGTGAAGCCTCTCTGCCGGATCGTGCGATGGCAGCCCCACAGGGCATGTGGTCTCCGCGTTGCTTCTGCCTCCCCCACAGGATGTCTCCCCATTCCATATGCACCTGATGTTATGTTTTTATAGTTTAAATCAGTTGATTTGTGGGAGAGAGTGACGCTAGGGACTGTCTATTCCGCCATAGTTTCGAGGTTTGGAAGTCCAAAGACCATCTGGTTGCCATTTGATTTTTTGAAGGAACTGGGTCATCTGCTTTGACATTTTTCCATTTTCTGGATTAGACTGCACCCCGATAGTGTAATTTACACAATCTCCTCTATCTCTTGTGGTGAATGCCTGAGATGTGACCTGATTCAGACAGATGCAGACACTGTGCTCTATCCAGCTGAGCTAACTGGTCAGCACTTCTAGACTATATTTTTAAAAACTTGGAAGAGAAACTAGAAACTAAAAAACAAACAAGACACAAAAAAGATAATTCAAAAGTTGATTAGGTCTAAATATGACATTTCATCTGAAACTTGGAATGACGTTTTGGGACATTTTGATAAAACAAGGAGAAAATACTAGGTCCTCATTTGGTTGTACATATTTAAAAATCCTTTCTGTTGTCATCTTTAAATTTTTTGTTTAAAAAAATGGAAAGATGGGGCCGGCCACTGGCTCACGTGGGAGAGCATGGTGCTGACAACACCAAGTCAAGGGTTAAGACCCCCTTACCGGTCATCTTTAAAAAAAAAAAAAAAAAAAAA